TTGTTAACATTAAAAGTAACTATTAGTTTCTGTATTAAACAACAATTAAAAATCTATATAAATATTAATATATACAAAAATAAACATATTCATTTTCTATGTTCTATACAGTATGTGTACGAGTTGTGTATGATTAGTAATCGTTATATTTCTAACCTTAATTCAGTCGTATCGGTGATGCCGTTTTCATTTGATGTAGGAGTTCAAATAAAGTTGATATTCGTGCATATTTATTCGCTGTTCTCTCAAACATTAATATTTCCATTTAATTCATCATGAAAATCTTCTTATTACTTGTTAGTTTATATTAGAGAGAAAAAGAAAAACAATGTGTTCATTTTTAAAAACAACAAATATCAAATTTCTTCTTTTTTTAAAAACATAACCAACCTTTTATTGTATCTTCTTGTCACCTTCTTACGCATGCCAAGTTTTTTCCAGCGCCGCCACCACATAATACGAACGTAAAAATCCCATATAATGATGTCACACATTTTACAATAATACATTTACAATAATACTTTAATTTACAATGATTTATCTAAACTGTACCATTATAGTCTATTATTTGTAAACCTAAAAGTAGAACACTTTTGTAATATTTGGATTAATTGTAATTACCCGAATTATTGTTACTATACCAGAAAGTAAATATTTATAAACATACTTTAAAATGATTGCATTATGAATTTTATAAAAAAGAAAAAGAAAATATTATAGTATATAAGACGAAATGGAATGAATTGAAAAGGAGAGAACCTCGGAAGCACCAAATAAATTGCTGTTTAAATTACTTGTAATAAGAATTGTTTTTGATTTTCATTTTTGGTGTGTTTGTTGTTGTAATCTTCCATGAGTTTAACACCTCTCTCAGTACTGTTATTGATGATTTTTAGTCCATCAACAAGTTTTTTTCCTAATATATAGAAGGAGTTTTTTCCCCAGTCAGCTGGGTATATATCTAAAAAATTTGTGTTAATGTCTTTTGAATAAGTTTAAAGACTGTTTAGTGAATAATGAAGTTGGCAAATTTGTTGCTAAAAATTCGGGTACTTAATATATTGTTTGTCATGGCATTTTTAATAAAAATATACCTCATGTATACAAATAAAATTATATAAAAAAATCACTATTCGAAATATATAATAAAAGTCCACAACTGCACTGAAATTTAATAAAATGTTATCAAATCATCACGTGTATGATGATTTGTTAACAGTGAAAACGTTTCTTAACTTATTTAACTTTTGAAAATTACGCCGTTCGTATTTTTCATACAACGACAAAAAATGCCAGAAAATATATTATAAGCAAAAATTTTCGATATCTAAAATTGAGTGACTGCTTAATTTACTTTATCGATATTTTGCAAAATGTAAGTTTAAAAAAATTTAGTTTTGTTTGTATTTTTTTGTTATTTTCGCCAAATGAAAANGTTTTGTTTGTATTTTTTTGTTATTTTCGCCAAATGAAAAACAATTCTTATTACAAGTAATTTAAACAGCAATATATTTGTAATAAAAATATTTAGCTTAACTTACTTTTCATTTTTATTTAAGGAAGTTCAAAAATACAGATAAACGTTCCTGAGTGTACAAAACAAGCTCTAGAAACTCCATTCAAAATATAATTAATCTGATACTTAACTAAAGTTTTTAATCGGAAATAAATATTAAGTATCATTTTTTTTTTAATCGTTAGTTCGCAAAATGTAAGTGTAAAAAAATGTTCTGTTTGTATTTTTTTGTTATTTTTTCCAAATGATGGACAAATCTCGCAATAAAAAAGAAATGGTGAATCAATTTAAAATTTTAAAATTTATCTTTTTTACTTAAAACGTTATTTTAAGTATATTTTATAAGAAACATTTTGTTATAGATTCGACAATACGTAAGATACAAACAAAATAATATATAAAAATCGATTTTGTAAAATAATTAAATTATTCTATTTTTTTAAATTTTACAGACTAAATAATGGTCTAATCAGGAAATATATCATGACATATTTTAAAGAACAAGTTTAGATCTATAAATTAATATCTGAACATATTTGTGTATGATTTTTTAATATTGAAATATAAGCAAAAAACTATAAAACTACCCCATTTATCAAATTTTCAACCCTTTGCAGCACGGAGGGGTTGACCAATCACGACAAAACTTCACCAAAATGTTTTAATTATAGTAATAAAAAAATTAGGGGGTTCTGCAAATAAAATGTTTAACTTCAAATTTGAGGAACACCCTAATATAGCATTACCTTTCATCTTTAAAATAATCAGATTTTATACTCTAATGGACTGATTATTTTGTATTTTAAAGAATGGAACCCTGTTTTGGTAATCTTGTAAATTCATAATATGTACAAAAGATAACATTAACTTCGATGCGAAGCTGAGAAGATTTAAATTTTACTATGATGTTTTTTTTTTATTTTTTGCGTCAGTTAAAATTTTTTTCAGCTCTCACGGAACCAATTTGTTTCAACAATTCATCAAAAATCATAAATCGTATCTTGTCAAACACATTATCCTTAAAAACTAAAAACAATTATTCTCGTTCTCCGTAAAATCCACGAAATCTCCAAAAAAATTACAAACTAAAAAATCGCTAATTTTCGAAATTAAAAATTTTTGTTTTCTTAAAACTACCATAACTTTCTTAAAAATTACCAAATCAATATAAATTTTTTTTTATAGATTCACGATGTCTTTACCTATTATTTGATGTATTTTTGTAAACATTTGATCCTTTACATGTCCACAAAGAGGTTTCAAAATAAGAATTTTTTCAAATTAACTTTTAAAAGTGTCCCAAAAATGCGGACACTTTTATATATACCTTAAATTAAAGATCATGTAATATACTTTATTATAGAAAAAGTTTCGGAAATTATTTTGTTTTCACAATAAAATTGGCTCCCGTTTTTTTTTTGTATTAAAATTCTCGATTTTGTATTATACATTTTTAAATTTATATTTTTATAACATTTTGAAAAATGTATGGATCAATACAATTTTTTTATGAAAAATACTATTTATAATTTTACTTTTTACATTCGACATATTTTTTTTCAAATCGGACTATTTTCTTTTACACTGGGGGTGAGGTCAAAACTTACAAACACATATAGAAAAAAGAACTATTTTAACTTAATTTTTAAAAGTGTTCCGGATATTCTCGNTATAGAAAAAAGAACTATTTTAACTTAATTTTTAAAAGTGTTCCGGATATTCTCGCACATTTTTTATATATATTAAATTAAAGCTTATACTTTAATAGTGAAAAAAAAAATTAACTTTACTTGTTTTCATAGTTCAAACGGACATCAAAGTTAATAAAAAATACAATTTTTGTAAAAAATACTATTTATATACTTCTTTTAATCGACATTTTTTTTTTCGGACCATTTTCCTTTATATATTTTTATATAATATATATACAGAGTGGCCCACCACTCACTGACAACTTAAATAACTTTTGATCCAGTTAATATTTTTAGTTTATTTTTTTTTTAAATCATAGTTATACGTTAGGTCTATAGCTATATCTCAATAATTAATTTTTTTACATTTTATTAAAAATGTTAATTATTTTTAAATTTTAAATAAAATGTAAAAAAAAAATCTAAGATAGCTATTTTGTAGAGTAGAATCTCAGAAAAATTTTAGTAAAAAAATATCTTATTAATATTCAGTAGTAAATATTCTGTAGCGTTTTGAAGTTTGTGAAAATTTGAATTTTCATGTACTATTTTACGGTATTAAACATTGAAATACGTATTGAGAAAAGGACAGAAGAAAACGCTATCTTTTCAATATACTTTTGAATGAGAGTGATAAGTAATAATTGCCTTATCTAATTTCTTATCATGGTATTTATGCCAAGTTTGTAATGTATACACACTATCATCATATGTATACACAGTAATCATGAAAAGATAGCGTTTTCTTCTGTCCTTTTCTCAATACGTATTTCAATGTTTAATACCGTAAAATAGTACATGAAAATTCAAATTTTCACAAACTTCAAAACGCTACAGAATATTTACTACTGAATATTAATAAGATATTTTTTTACTAAAATTTTTCTTAAATTTTACTCTACAAAATAGCTATCTTAGATTTTTTTTTTACATTTTATTTAAAATTTAACAATAATTAATATTTTTAATAAAATGTAAAAAAATTAATTATTGAGATATAGCTATAGACCTAACGTATAACTATTATTTAAATAAAAAATCAACTAAAAATATTAACTGGATCAAAAGTTATTTAAGTTGTCAGTGAGTGGTGGGCCACCCTGTATATATATATATATTTATTCTCATATTACACTTATAAATCATAAGACTTGTAATCAGGATATAAATAAGGAAATAGAAGATCATGTAACTTTTGGAATAATTCTCCAATTGTATAAAAATAAACACTATCGCTATATTATAGCGTTTAATAGTGATTTTAATAACTGTCAGATATCATCTATACTGGGCCCAATTAGGCCACGTTCTCACTGTTGCGCGACCCCACTGTTCTGGTTTTTTTATATTATAAGTGATAATATAACAAAATGGTAAAAATTCATTTAATTGTGATCTAGTGAAGCTTATAGTTTTAATATTTAGACAGCATTAGTAACTGTGACCTAATTATTTATATTTATTTTTATATTTTTATATAAACCTAATTTTTATATTTATATTTTTATGAATAGTTTTTGTTTTTTTTTTTATGAAAAATTGATTTTACTCAATTTTATATTAAACAATTCATTTTTTTTTAATACTGCGTTCAGTTTAAAATAGTACTGTAAAATAAATCACTTTTAAACTGTTTGAACACGCAATATTTAAAATAGATAATTTAATAGTAGTTGAAAAATCGTAAAAATTACTTTAATTGACGTTCAAAGGAGTTTATAGCATTAATATTTAGATGGAATTAGACACTATGACGTCGTTTTTATTTTTAAATTCAGATTTCAAACTATTTTTTAAATATTGTATTAAATATAATAAATTTATATAAATAAAAATCTTACATTTAAATATATAAAATTTATTATTTCTGTAGATTCAGAAAAAAACTCTTCTTAAAAAGTTATAAATAACTGTCATTCAGTAATTAAGATAATAATAATGATTTTAAATCAACATTGCGTGTTAATAATATTTTTTGGGATATTTTGTAATGTACAATTTATGACGTGTAGTTGGTTTAAATGGACATCGACACAAAAACCAAAACCGGACACAGAAGAACTTAAAGTAGCATTCAATCTTGATACTGGATTTTCTTATGGTAATAGCCTTGAAATGTTAGATATGGAGTTAAGTGAATTGAAAGATAGGATAATCAAGGATGGAAAACTAGGAATTAATGTGTCCACTAGACCACAAGTTATATACAACGATCTTTATTGCAGTGATTTATTTAATCTTTTACAATACACAAGAATTATTCAATCTTTAATAGAACATAATTCTACTTATAATACAGATAAGTTCGATTATTTATTGTTGAATGAATCAACTATTCAACACATGCTAGCTGTAGTAATAAAGTTAGATCTAACGGAACATTTACACTCGTTTTGGAATTTGTACATGTTTGCAATTTACATAAAAAACTTGAGGATGGTCGATAATTTTTTAGTGATATCCCATGTTATTGATGTGCTAGATTGTATAATAGATTGTTTATCGTGTTATACAAATAATTTTTGTCGAAAAAATAATAAATACAATTCATTTGATAAACTTAACGAATTAGATTTTAAGCTAGAAAAAGAGAAGATGTTAATGATAGAAAAAGTAAAGGCGGTAATGGTAAGTAGAAATATTATTAATAAAATCCTACTGCACGGTGAAGAAGTAGAAATTTGGGTTTCTCTTAAAAAAATTTATCTTTACGAAATTCTTCAAAATACAGATATTTTGAAAACTATAATAATGGATTTCGGGGAACAAAGTCAAAAAAGTTATTATGATATCATTAAGGATATTAATGTGGCATATAAAGATGCCCGAAATTATTATTGGTTTGATGTTTGGATCACAAAAATTAAAATTTATCATGAAAAAATCTTTAACATATTCCGAGTCGTAACTTTACATTTAATTAGAAAGCATGTAATGTATTTAATAAATAAGAAAGAAAAAATTGTTAAAAAGTATAATAAACTAATGTGGAATTTCTTTGATTCTAATTTTTATACATTTTATTTTATGATATTTTCTGATAATACAGACTTTGAAAGTATCTCAACATTATTCCAAAATACACCAAGTAATTCAAATGAATCATTTGATAACTTAATTTCTAATATTATATCAAACATTGAAAACAAAATGCAAACATGCTTTGTTGTTAAGTCATTTAAAATATTACAAATAAAAGTAGATGACGAAATGTATAACTCAAATTCAATTAATAACACTAAGATACTTAGGTCATACGTTCAAATAAGCAAAGAAAAAAATGATGAAATAGAAAATTTTAAAAAAAATTCAGATATCAAAGGCTTGAATGATAACTTCGAACGGTTTCATATATTTTTAGAGTATTTTATGAAAATATTTATAGATAAACACAAATTTAAGGTTTTTCGGTCATTCATGAAATTTAGTTCGGATTACGAAATAATGAAAGATCGGAGACCACAAAGTTTAAAAGAAGAAAGATTTCTTGATCTTTAATATATATATTAAAATCATCATAGTGACATATGTGTCTACAATTTCATTAAAATTCATAAAAATCTAAATTTAATATTGATTTCCAAATTGTATCAGATTGTTGGTATGTGTGTATTTTTATTTTACCAATAAAATTATCTTATGAGCTCTAAGTAATGAAATTACTTATTATATTATATTTTAATATATTTAACAAACTATGAATTTATAATTCTATTCGTATTCAAGTCCTCAAAAGTAATCAAATGTGTGTAATTCACAAGAATTATTTATAATATTTTATTGTTGTAACAAAAAATACACTTATTATAATTTTAACTAATTATTTATCTTATATATAGAATATGTATAAATAAAGTGATTATAGTCATAATGACTCATGTTTTTCATAATTTCATTAAAACTCATAAAAATCTAAAATTAATTATTATTTTTAAATAATATTAAATCATTTGTATATTTGTATTTTTTATTTTACTAGTAAAATTATAAAAAATTTTCTAATGAGCTCCAAATAATCGAATAATTAATAAATCATGAGGTTAAATTTTGTTGATCTGTCAACTCTAACAACAGTCGTTTAAATATAGACTTCATGTTTAGTAAAAAATTAAATAAAATATCTTGTATAATTTTTAAGTTTTCAAATTTTTAGATGTTTTGCGAACCATTTCTTAGTAAGTTTCAGGTAAATTAGTATAATTATTTTGTATATAGATGCATGATGTTTTTACCTGTCATTTGATATACTTTTTTTATAAATCTAATCCTTTACCTACCTACAGGAGGATTCAAAATGACAACTTTTTCAACATAACTTATAAAAGTGTTTCGAAAAGTCTGACACTATACTTTAAATTAAAGTTTATGTAATATACTTTATTATGGAAAAATAAATTTCAGACTTAATATTGTCTTGACGATGAAAATGGCTTCCGTATGCTATTTTTGTGTTATAGTTCTCGATTTTATAATTTACATTTTTAACTTTAAAATGCAATAACAATTTTATGAATAATTATATTCATTCGACATACTTTTTTTTTTAAATATAACTATTTCCTTTTACATATTTATATATTATATATATTCATATATTACACCGACAGCGAAAAATCAACTTTATTATGATGAAAAAAATTTTGAAATTGAAAAAACAATTAGTATAATTTATATGTAACATCAGCATTTTTTTTTTCAACTGTGTATTTTTAATTTTTTGGGGGAAGTGCTAAGCCCACACTACGGTTTTTGTGCTGAACTTTTTAATAATTAAATAATAAACGATTTTTGTATAAAAGATATATTCGAATCTCTAAATGTTTGTCACATATAATGTAGTATTCGTAAATATTCTAATTTCGGCAAATTGATTAAACTCATTAGGAGTTTAAAAAAAAATTTGTAATAACTAAACTTATAGCCCATAATATTTTCAACAATTTATATTCTATAATTTTTTTTCTATGATCGCTTATTTCCAAATTAAGTACAAAACACTAGAAAACTACCCTTATTGTCCAATTTTCAACCCTGAATTAGCACGTGTTAAACTTGTCTGATTGACGTGAAATTTTTTTTAACGGTGAAAAAGGCTTCCGTATTTTATTTTAGTGTGATTTTATAATTTACATTTTTATCTTTAAAATGCAATAACGATTTGGAAAATGTATGGATGAATACAATTTTTTTATGAAAAATAATATTCATTCGACATACTTTTTTTAAAAATAAAACCATTTCCTTTTACAAATTTATATATTATATATATTCATATATTACACTTATAAATCATAAGACTTGTAATCACGATATAAATAAGGAAATAGGACATCATGTAGATTTTAGAATAAACCACCAATTCTTTAAAATTAAACACAATCTACAGATTTGCACCGAAGCATTTTTTATGAAGGTGATTTTAATCACTGTCAGGTATCACTGTACTTGACCCAACTTTGGTACGTCTCCATTATGCTGAGTTTTTTCTATTTTGTTTTTGTCCAAAGCAACTGTTACAGGACAGAAAACTGTACCATAGCTCTGGATACTTATAAATAATACGATTTATACCATAAAGTTTTGATTTTGCAATAAAATACAAATACTAAAATACTGCGTTATTTTTGTTTTATGAACTGATGTTGTCGGAAAACAAACATATTTTTTAATACCGTGTGATAAGTAATTTAAAAAAAAAAAATATCAATAAAACTAATAATATCATTCTGACCTTTATTTCCTATTGTTTCAGCATACATATAATAATGAGATTTTCTAGTTTATCCAGAGAACATACAAAATTTATATAACCACAACTGACGTCTATAATAATTGTCACCTCACGATATGTGTGTTAGAGGCATGCTGGAAATCAAATGTGTATCATGTCAATACATTCATTTTCTCTAACTGTAGTACGATATATCATTATATCACTATAAGAACTTTTGCTTTTCATAAATACATTTCTTTTTCAATTTTAAGCTGTTGTTTTTTTCAGGATTAATGTCTATGTCAGTTATTACATTCAACCAATCACAAGTTTTGCATGTATCCGTTCTTGGACAACCAAATGACAGATTGAATTTGTCTTTAAAATATGTATCATATTATATATTTATATTTTACAACATATTTACATATTTTATGACCTCTTACAAGTTCATAATTCTGCACAAAAAACAGAAGAAGAAGAAGAAGACTTAAAAAATTAATTTTAAAATACATAAACTCTTTTCGTGTTCATTTATCATTTACTAAGGATGTAAAGATAATTATTTATATTGTAAATTACCAAAATTTTTAAAATTATAAAAAATGAGTAAGATTTTAAAATTAGTATTATGAGATAAAGGTAGATCAAATCTTATTCATTTGTTAAACAAAATAATATAAAAATTTTTCATCAATTATCTGGTGTGGATAAATTCTCTAAAATTAAAATTGATTGAGAAATTAAATAATCTAATATGTTTATCTTCATATTCTAAATAATGAAAAAAACTATGTTTAGCTGTAGAATTTATTAAATTTTGAGACAAACCCAACAATAACCTATTTGGTTCTATTTAAAAATTGACAAAAGTAGAAAAATAATACAAAATTTGACTTAAATAATCTTCTGAATAACATGTAGTTTATTAATCTATTTGTAAATTTAATTAATATTCAAAAGAAGTTCTCTAAATATAACGTCGCTAAAAATGCATTTTTTTTATAAAATTTAGCTTCTATGAATTTTGTCCAGATTATTTAGTTTGTGCGACAATACCAACACATATTGAAATATAAACACGATTAAAATCACAAACAAAGAACACTACTGGTGTAAATTTGAATAATGTATGATGATATATTGACATAATAAATCAAAATTATTTTTTTTATACTGGCCATAGTTGGAGTTATAATTTTTCGAGAAAAGGGCTTAAGTTAAGGGTTTAAATCTTCAAGATCTTTATATTGCTATTTGAGGGATGTCTACTGCGGAGGGAATGTTGTACTGTATAAGCGCCATAAATGTGCGTGTTTGATCGAGTGCCGAGTGCATATCGTCCGTTGGTGATGCATATGAATGTAATACAAAATGTCGTATGTGTTGTACGTGTGGGGGGGACGTGATTCGTATTCGTACGCCGGTGGCATTAATGTGGACGACACGCGCACGATCTGACTATTAAGTCGGTTAAGATTTTGCGAACTCGATCTCTTATAGACGTTGCTGTAGGTTGGCGTCCTTTGTGTGGTAATGAATGGGCTCAGTGTGTTGTTCCTGTTAGTGTCACGGCTTATAATCGTTCGCGAAAGTGAGTGTAACTCAAAGCTTGTTCGGCTTCCGATAGAAACGCTTCCATTCTCGAATTAAGGGACATTTCGCGTAAATTTTGGCATAACGCGGCAATCTCTTCTGTTGCTTGGGAAATTGAACGTAGAAATAGATGTCGTCTACGAACGCTGAGTGTGATTGATCAATATGGTGGCCAGGTGCTTGGACTATCTCGCTGAGAGACACGGAGACAGAATTTTTGAGTGTCAAGTTAACCGGTTGTTCCGCGTTGGTAGGTGGTCCGGTGGCTTGACGATATGCGGCCGCGTTTCCTTCAGAATCGCATTCGCCGAGTTCATTATTGAGAGATCAGTGTTCAGGTAAGATCGCTGTGGAAGGGTCCACCCCTCGCTGCGTAGGTGGTTTTCCAGAACGGTTAGCATATCGTTCTTCGTTGTGTACCCAGTAAGCTGCCTAAAGTCGCATTCGCGTAGTAATTCTTGAGCCGATTAATTTGAGCTAATAATTTACTGGTCTTTTTTATGTTACCGTATTTCGAGAAAATTAACAAAACAATAATAAAATTAACAGATGTTTTTGAAGTACGAATGTCGTATTCATGACAATGCGAGTTTATCTGTTCGCGTATGAGCGTCACCAGATGCCGGACCCGTTTGTATTATTATTTGTTTTGATGGACTGTGGTGGTATGCACTTTTGTTGATAATGTGTGGTGATTGATACTAATAATACGAACGGTTTAAAGGGACCCCGTTTTTAGATATAACGATCGCTGCAATATGATAGTGTGTTGTATTGCCCTTAGCTTAAATTTATGAAAATAATGTAAAATGTCAACAGTATTTTCTTACCTTATAGAACCAGTTGATACGAGAGGGTAGACTCGCGTGTTGAGAAGACTAACTAGAACGACACCATTTAATAGTTTTGAATGGCGTTGAGCTATTTATTGACAATAGTAGAAACACTAAACAAAGGGAAAAAAACTAAAATATTTGTTATAGATTCAATGTTATCATAAAATGTTAGAGCTGGGCCATGTAAAAATACTACTAAGTATTGCGGTTTATCGATTTCTGACCAATTGTTAATTGCGGGTGCTCTATTAAAAGTTTTCAAAAACAAATCTATATGTTCATTTATCCCACCCGAAAAAGTAGTCGGTTTGAAAAGTAGAT